GTGTGTCTCAGGTAGACCCGGTCGAGCCTGTTGAGGTTGCTGTCGACTCTCGTCCTGCTGGGGGTGCTGAGCCTGGGGGTGCGGACGCTGGGGGTGCTGAGCCTGGGGGTGCGGACACTGGGGGTGCTGAGCCTGGGGGTGTGGACTCTTGGGGTGCTGAGCCTGGGGTTGCGGACTCTGGGGGTGCTGAGCCTGGGGGTGCGGTGACTGGGGGTGCTGAGACTGGCGGTGCTGCGCCAGGGGGTCCTACGCCTGGACGAGACCTCTCCTCGGAGCAGTTGCGTGAATGGTACTTACAGTACTGCAGCCTCCGGAGAGGTACCTCTGGGACCAGGCGCGCTACGGAGACTGGTGCTGGCACTTCTCCTTCTAGTCGGGAGCTCCCCTCTCGTGAGCGGATCTGTGAGTGGTACGAGCGTCGTTGCACACTTCGTAGTGGCGCGCCTCGTCTCACGGACCCTGCTGCTGCTGGTGCTGCGGACCCGGGCGTTGGAGCTGCTGCTGGTGCTGCGGACCCGGGCGTTGGAGCTGCTGCTGGTGCTGAGGACCCGGGCGTTGGAGCTGCTGCTGGTACTGCGGACCCGGGCGTTGGAGCTGCTGCTGGTGCTGCGGACCCGGGCGTTGGAGCTGCTGCTGGTGCTGAGGACCCGGGCGTTGGAGCTGCTGCTGGTACTGCGGACCCGGGCGTTGGAGCAATTGCTGGTGCTGAGGACCCGGGCGTTGGAGCTGCTGCTGGTGCTGAGGACCCGGGCGGTGGAGCTGCTGCTGGTACTGCGGACCCGGGCGTTGGAGCTGCTGCTGGTGCTGAGGACCCGGGCGTTGGAGCTGTGACTGGTGCTGAGGACCCTGGTGTTGGAGTCCCTGCTGGTGCTGCGGACTCGGGCGTTGGTACTGCCGCTGGGGGCACTGGTGCTGTCCCTGCTGTGTCTGAAGTCGCCGCGCGCCCTCAGCCGTACTTCGTTCCGCTCCTTCAACAGGTTCTTGGTCTCTCGCCTCCTCCTGGTCCTCCCCCTCCTTTAGTGTGTCCACAGCCTGTTCAGTCACTACCTGCTCCTTCTCCTTACTCTGGTCCTACTGACGGTCTTACTGAGCGTCGTGAGCCTGCGTCTCGCCCTGCGTCGCCTGTCCGTCCTGCTAGCACTAGTGCTCGTAGTTCGCGTCCACGTCCTCCTCCTGCCCCTGGCACGCACCGGATGTCTCTGCGTCCTTCCACTGCTACTCTGCGTGCCCCTTTGCCTTCTCCTCCTGCTTCCTCTCTTCCTGCTCTTGTCGACCCTACGTCGGACTCTCTTCGTGCTGCCAGTCCTACTGTCACGCGTCTCCTTGCTACTGCCGTCACTGACCCTTCCTTCGAGTCTTCTGCTGCGTCTGCCCTAGTTGCTGAGCTCGTCGACTTTGCTGCTCGCTGTCGTCTAGACTACGCTGCTAGTCTTGTCGCCGAGTCTGAGTCTCTCTGTCCTCCGTCCGTCGGGGGTGCGTGTGCCCTTGGCACGGACGTCCTTGAGGACAGGCACGAGGAGTTTCAGTGCTTGGCTGCCGCTTCACCTCATCTCGCGTCTGTACTGCTAGCCCCTGAGGGAGACCCGGATGCACTAGACATCCCGACTCGGCGCTCTTACGCGGAGGCGATAGAGGGTCCCTACTCCTCTCAGTGGCAGGCAGCTATGGATGCAGAGATGGCTTCCTGGAAGTCCACAGGCACCTACGTTGATGCTGTCCCCCCTCCTGGGGCGAACATCGTCAGTGGCATGTGGATCTTCAGGGTGAAGCGGCCGCCGGGTTCTCCGCCTGTCTTCAAGGCGCGTTACGTGGCTCGTGGCTTCAGTCAGCGGCAGGGAGTTGACTACTTTCAGACCTTCTCCCCCACCCCGAAGATGACCACTCTTCGGGTACTCCTGCACGTTGCTGCTCACCGGGACTACGAGCTTCACTCTCTCGACTTCAGCACTGCTTTCTTGCAGGGCAGCCTGCACGAGGAGATCTGGCTGCGTCGCCCACCTGGCTTCACTGGGTCTTTCCCTCCTGGTACCCAGTGGAGTCTCCGGCGTCCAGTCTACGGTCTCCGCCAGGCGCCACGTGAGTGGCACGACACACTGAGGACTACGCTGGCGGCACTTGGGTTTGCTCCTTCTACTGCCGACCCGTCGCTGTTTCTGCGCACCGACACTTCTCTGCCGCCGTTCTACATCCTCGTGTACGTCGACGACTTGGTCTTTGCCACTGCTGACACTGCTGGACTCGCCTACGTGAAGTCCGAGCTGCAGAAGAGACACACGTGCACTGACCTGGGTGAACTGCGCAGCTACCTTGGCTTGCAGATCACCCGGGACAGAGCACAGCGCACCATTACCCTGACTCAGTCACACATGGTGCAGCAGGTCCTTCAGCGCTTCGGCTTCACGTACTCCTCGCCTCAGGCCACTCCTCTGTCTACTCGCCACTCGCTCTCAGCTCTGCCTTCGGATGAGTCCGTAGAGTCGAGTGGCCCGTACCCAGAGCTTGTTGGCTGTCTCATGTACCTGATGACCTGCACACGACCTGACCTTGCATACCCTCTTAGCATTCTTGCGCGCTATGTTGCTCCTGGGAGACACCGACCAGAGCACATGGCTGCAGCGAAGAGGGTGTTGCGCTACTTGTGGAGTACGTCGGGCATGGGACTAGTGCTTGGAGGGCGGAGTCCAGTGGTCCTCACTGGTCACGCGGACGCTTCTTGGGCTGACGACCAGGCTACGCAGCGGTCGTCACAGGGTTACACCTTCAGCCTTGGTTCCGGCTCTGTTTCGTGGCGGGCTACTCGCTCGTCTTCTGTTCTCGGCTCCAGTTGTGAAGCTGAGATCTACGCAGGGGCCATGGCTGCTCAGGAGCTTCGCTGGCTCACCTACCTGCTGACCGACCTTGGAGAGCCGCCTCGTTCTCCTCCAGTCCTGTACGTCGACAACAAGGTCATGCTGGCCTTGTGTCGAGAGCAGAGACTGGAGCACAGAACAAAGCACATTGCTCTCCGCTACTTCCTTGCTCGTGAGCTACAGTAGCGTGGTCAGTTGCGACTTGCGTACGTGGCCTCTGAGGCCAACACTGCTGATGTTTTCACCAAGGCACTTGCGCCTTGTGATCATCAGCGCTGCTGTACCCAGTTGGGTCTTGTGTCTGTCTTGCCTCACTTGCTCTCCTCTTGACCCTCTTTGTACTGTTACATATATATATATCACTGCTCTTGCTTGTTTAGTCTTATATATATATGTACTCCTGCATGTGAACTGGCCTTGTGGCCTTGAACTTGTGCTCGGATTGTGTGGTGACATTGTGATCCACCCTGAGCTTGCTTTGCTTTACTTGACTGGTCTTGTGACCCCTAGTTCTCCCCCACTTCGCCTATGGGGGTGTGTCAAACATTATATATATTGTTGTAGTTGTTTAGGCTACAGTGGGTTAGCCTATAGGGGGTACACACTTCTAGGTTTCCATATTTGTACTCATTTCATTCTTAGTCATTCCATTCCTTGTTCAACAAAAATACCATCCTGAAATCAGGGTAATCATGATGTTTTGCCCTGATATCGTGGGCCCTGCCTGTAACCCTTTCCTAGGATCAATCGGGGATCACCAGTGGGCCTCTGATAGATCATTGTACTGTTGTTGTTACATATATACATCTGCATGTGAACTGGCCTTGTCGCCCTTTGCTTGTGCTCAAAATGTGTGGTGACTTTGTGATCCACCCTGAGCTTGAATTGCTTTTCTTGACTGGTCTTGTGACCCCTTGTTCCCCCCCATTTTGCCTATGGGGATGTGTCAAACTATAATGCTACTTGTGTTGTGTAGGCTGTAGTGGGGTAGCCAACGTGAGGTACAACCCCTTTAGGGTTTTTATTTGTACCCAACACTCTCTTAGTTCATTCATTCGTGCTCTTAGTTCTGATAGACTATTCCCTCCTATGATATTTTAAGAGGATGTACGGCATTGCAATTCCTTACTTTACTCGCCCTTCAGCGGGTACGATTCCGAGGGGATCACATCAACACGTTTGGCCAAAATTCCCGCACTGAACCACTCCCGAGTCGCCCCCGCACCGATTGCAACCCTCCGGACCCACCTTCGCCCAACCTCCCGGCCTAGCTAGGATCCCCCCATTTAATCCCGTCACTTTTGATGTATCATCATTCTGTAATTTAAAATTCTCGTTATTCGTTATTCTGCGCATTCTGAAAGTTCATTCATACGGTAACATTGCGGGTCTGACCAGCCATACTCTTATCTATTACCTAGAGTATGAAAAATCATACAAAAGCTTCACATTGAGTACGGAAATTCATTTTTAACGGTGGACAAGTGTGAGGTGAGTCGCCCTATGTTGAGTGGCCTCCTGCGGCAGACCCATGCACGTCCTTTACCGTAGCACTTGCCCAATTCCCCCTACCGTCATGCTAGTCGTGGTGCACTCCTTGCCCGCGAGATGCGCACCACAGCGACTGGCGTTCGTCACACCACGGCGTTGCTGCGAATCGCCACGCAAGCAGGGCTCGCTCGCATGGAGACACCCGACGCGGCTCCCTCTCGTGCATGCACCCGCACGCCGCGCATGCAATGCACATTGCCGAATCGCCGCGAGTGCCTGGCGCGCTGCGCCGTTACTTTCACGAGGAATGTCGAGTGATGTAGTGCTGCCTCTCAATGTCGACGAGTGTGGACTGTCGTTGTCGCTGTCGAATGCTGCGCGCCTCCGCAATGGTGACGACGCGCTCGACTGAAGCGCCGCGAGGCAGTCCCTCCCACTCCTTCCGCTGCTCTCCCTCCCACTCGCCTGCAAGTCCTTAGCCTCTCGAGCGGGCCCCTGTTTATCGCGTCAGTTCACTTGCGCTCACCGAGTTCCTTGGTCATCGCCACACTCGCCGCGCCCTTCACCGGTCCGTCTCGTGCCGTTCCTCCGTCAGCCCGCTCTTCGCTCATCGCATAGTCGCAATCGTCGCATCGAGTGTCGCGACAGCAGCACGGCAGCATGTGGGGGCATCTCACGTCGTCCCTCCGCCGACTCACAGTGCGCTCTGGCGAGCCGCACACCGCGCCGGACAAGCCGCTCATCGTCGTCTTCGGGGCCACCGGTGAGCCTCTCCGCGCCTCTCCGCGCCTCTCCGCGCCTCTCCGCGCTACTTACGCTCACGTATGTCCGTCTTTCTAACTCCTCTCCTTGCACGCAATCCTTTCCCGCCCTCCCTGCCATCCCCACCTTCCCCTCTCCCGGCCACCAGGCGCGCAGGGCAGCAGCGTGGTGGCGGCGCTGCTGGCGAGCGGGCGCTACCGCATCCGCGCCGTCACGCGCCACGCGGACTCGCCGCGTGCCGCCCATCTGAGGGACGCCAAGGTGGAAGTGGCACAGGCCGACCAGGCGGACCGCCAAACCGTGCGCGCGGCGCTGGAGGGTGCTTATGGCGCGTTCGTGGTGAGTGCCGTGCGGTGCGGGCAGCAGCGCGTGTAGCGCGTACAAGGCTCACCTCAGTCGCATGTTGTTGGGCAGCCTCCCATAGCCATGCTTTGCTCTATTTTGCATGTCTCTTCAAAACTGCTTCACCATACCACTCCCCGCGCCAGCTACTCTCTCCTGATGTTCACCACGTCTTTCACTGCCCTGTCTTGCTCTGCGCATCCCGTCCACTGCTCTGCGCATCCCGTCCACTGCTCTGCGCATCCCGTCCACTGCTCTGCGCATCCCGTCCACTGCTCTGCGCATTCCGTCCACTGCTCTGCGCATCCCGTCCACTGCTCTGCGCATCCCGTCCACTGCTCTGCGCCTTGCAACGGGCGCCGCCACATCTGCATTGCGTGTGCCCTCTCTTGGCATTGTGCCCTCTCTTGGCATTGTGCCCTCTCTTGGCACCATCACTTCCAACCTCGCCAACCACACCCCGCCCCTTCTCCTCTCGCTCTCTCCCTGCTCTCTCCCTGTTCTCTCCTGCTCTCTCCCTGCTCTCTCCTCGCTCTCTCCCCTTCCCTCTGCTGGGCAGGTGACGGACTTCTACTCGCTGGGAGAGCGCGAGGTGGAGGTGGGGAAGGGAGTGGTGGAGGAGGCGAGGGGGGCGGGCGTGCAGCACATGGTGTGGAGCACACTGCCCCACGTGCACCGCCTCTCCAAGGGCCAACTCAACGTGCCGCACTTCACCAACAAGGCCAAGGTCGGCGCCTCCCGCACACTCTCTTCCTCTCCCTGCTCTGCCGCTGCCTCCCACTCATTGCTGCCTTACCACGCCATGGGCGCCTTATTATCAGTTCCCCGAGTGTTTCGCCTCAGCTCGCACGCACCTCTTGGCCGTCACTGTGCCGTTTCCCCCCCATGGCGCTGCAGGTGGAGGAGGTGGTGAGGGCGAGCGGCTTCAAGCACCACACATTCGTCATGTGTGCCTTCTACTACCAGAACTTCGCCCACTTCAACCTCGCCAGGTGCGCCCATGCGCGCCTTGTCTTGCGCTTGTTGCCGTCTGCTTAATGCATGTGGCTTCATTCAACCTGTGAAGGAGAGACAACAAGCATGTGGCTTTACAATCCACTGTACGCTGTGCAGTGCAGGGAGGAGGCGGATGGCACGGTGGTGTTTGAGCTGCCCATGGCAGCAGACGACATGCTCACGGCCTTCGATGTGGACGACACCGGTGCTGCCGTGCTCAACGCCCTCGACCACCCCCATGACTGGGATGTGAGTGCGCCCTCTGCTGCCTGCATCGCCACATGCAACGCTGCTGCTGCCATGGCAGGTGCTTTCGCCCTGTCCGGGCTCTACTGGAAAACCAAGTGGATTGCTTGCGCTGTGGGTGCTGACTGCGTGTGCTTACCCCCCATGAGTTGACCCCTGTGTTCTTGCTCTGCTCACTCCTCCCCCTCACCCTCTCCCATTCCCGCTGCCTCTGCTGCGCCCCTGGATGCATGCGTGCTGGCAGGGCGAGTACATGTGTCTAGCGGGCTACCACGCCCCCCTGCACCAGTACGTCTCCGACTTCCACCGCGTCACGGGCCGCCCCGCCCGCCTGCACACCACTGAGAAGGCGGCCTCTGACGAGTGGACGCAGGTGAGGGGGGAGGGAGGTGAGGGGGGAGGGAGGTGAGGGGGGAGGGAGGTGAGGGGGGAGGGAGGTGAGGGGGGAGGGAGGTGAGGGGGGAGGGAGGTGAGGGGGGAGGGAGGTGAGGGGGGAGGGAGGTGAGGGGGGAGGGAGGTGAGGGGGGAGGGAGGTGAGGGGGGAGGGAGGTGAGGGGGAGGGAGGTGAGGGGTGAGGGAGGTGAGGGGGGAGGGAGGTGAGGGGGGAGGGAGGTGAGGGGGGAGGGAGGTGAGGGGGGAGGGAGGTGAGGGGGGAGGGAGGTGAGGGGGGAGGGAGGTGAGGGGGGAGGGAGGTGAGGGGGAGGGAGGTGAGGGGGGAGGGAGGTGAGGGGGGAGGGAGGTGAGGGGGGAGGGAGGTGAGGGGGGAGGGAGGTGAGGGGGAGGGGTGAGGGAGGTGAGGGGGGGAGGGAGGTGAGGGGGGAGGGAGGTGAGGGGGGAGGGAGGTGAGGGGGGAGGGAGGTGAGGGGGGAGGGAGGTGAGGGGGGAGGGAGGTGAGGGGGGAGGGAGGTGAGGGGGGAGGGAGGTGAGGGGTGAATGGTGAGGGACGCACGCACTCTGCATTGTGTGGCTTCAGGGGACAGGCTGGGGTGGCGAAGAAGGAACGGTTGGAGTGTTTCCTTTGTGCGCCCCTGGGGTGCTGCCATGCCACGCTCCCTCTCACTTGTCCGTCCGCCTTCCTGTGCCTCCTGAGCAGATGTTCCGCTGGTTCTCCCAGCACACGTACTTCGGCTGTCATGACATCAGCAATGCGCGGCGCTGCAACCCGCACCTCAAGACGTGGCGCCAGTGGCTGCAGGAGAGCGGCTGGAAGGGGCCCCAGGGGGTAGAGGAGGGCGAGGGGAAGGGAGAAGCCACGGGGGAAGTGAAGGGAGAAGGTGAGGTTGAGTCTGAAGCTAGGGGTGGAAGGAAGGAGGTGGGGGGAGGGGCGAAGGAGGTGGAGCATGGGGGTGAGGCCCCTCCCAAGGCGCATGTGGCGGGCGCATAGCAGTGTGGCGGAGAGAGGGAAATATGAGGAAGACGGTGCTTTTGATGGAGGTGTGGATATGGACTGCCGAAGTTAGATAGTTGTAGGAACATGCTTGCCATGTTTGTCCATATTGTGAATACGGTACCAGCGTTACTGTGTAATCAACTTGTTTCACATGTCAACTGCTCACATGTCAAAACTGCTCACATGTCAACTGCTCACATCATATGTGGGCGGAAGATGTGCATGATTCCATCATTGCAAATAATGGTACACTCAGCTGCTCATTCTGCACACAGATTATCATGTAAGCACATGCCTTCATGATGAATCAACAACTGCACAAAACAGCACTGCCTTGTACCGTACCACGCTACTCAGTGTGTGCCAGCAGCGACAGCACCTTGGCTGCATGAGCTTCTCTCGAACCAAACAAGGGTCGCATGTCCCCAGGCAACCACGCCTCATCCACCCTCCAAGCACCTGCCCCACCGCCTCCTCTTCCCCCCCTCCCTCCTCCCATCCCTCCACCCGCCTTCTCCACCATCTCCTCCCCAAACGTCTCTGCAATGCAATACAGAGAGGTGCGCACCACATCCGCCATGGCCCATGCCTCGCCCCACACCGGCCCCACCACCCCCTCGCCGTACACAGCTCTCCCCACCGCCCCGCCCCCTGCTCCCTCGCCTGGTACGTCCGAACCACCTGCTGCCGCACCTCCATACCTAAGACCGAGGGTCGGTGTGCCAAATAATCCCTCGCTTCCTGAAGCTAGAACCGAGGTCTGGTGGGAGAAGGCAGGTTGAGAGGCACCTGGAGGAGTCGCTTGCGAGGAAGCTTCCCCAAAGCCAGAGAAGGTGGCGGGGGCGGCAGGGTGGCGGTGGGAGGGGGAGAGGAGGAGCGAGTCAAGGGCGAGCAGTGCAGAGAGCAGCGCGGAGAGCGCCGCGGCGTTGGCGCCCGCCATCTGCGCCACGCCCATGCGGTCCTCCCCCCGCGACGCTGCTGTCAGCGCTGCCAGCGCGCGCATGCTCATGACACACAGCTGGTGTGCGGGGAGAGACGTGGAGGGGTATGGAGGAAGTGGATCGGAGAGTCGGGGGTTCACGGGTCGAGCATGGCGGAGAGGAAAGGGGGAAGGACAGCAACTGTGGCGGTTGGAGGTATCAGGAGCCATTTTGCGCCACGTGCAGAAACCCATGCATGTGACGCAACGCGAGGTGTGATTGCGATGACATCTCATGGCATGGCAAGGCATCGCATGACTTGCCATGGTGTGGCATTTGGGCCACCTCGGCCGCCACCCCACCTGCCATCACCCCACCTGCCATCACCCCACCTGCTGCCCTCTCACCTGCCGCCCTCTCACCGGCTGCCCGCTCACCTGCCGCCCGCTCACCTGCCGCCCGCTCACCTGCCGCCCGCTCACCTGCCGCCCGCTCACCTGCCGCCCGCTCACCTGCCGCCCGCTCACCTGCCGCCCGCTCACCTGCCGCCCGCTCACCTGCCAGTCAAAGAACACCTCAGCTGCGCTGGGCGCTCTCCTCCTCCCCTCCACGCCCCCCACGCCCATTCCACTCCCATATGCGCCGCTTCCCAAGACCCCTCCCCCTTGCAGCGCCTGCCCCTCCACCCCCTCCCCTCCGCCCTTCCCCTGCCGCCATCTCATCCCTTCAGCAGAGGCAAACCCGGCTGCTGTGAATGCAGCCGTGGGTGACTGTAAGGAATAATGCTGCTGCTGCTGCTGCTGCAGTGCAGTAGTAACGGTGGGATAACCAGCAGCAGCAGCGACTCGGGCCGTCATGGCATCGATGGGGCGGATGCACGCCGCCACCACTGCGCTGTACGCCTCCTGCGACTCAAACAGCACCGCGCGGCGCCACGTGTCAGCCTCTGATTCGGCGAGCAGCGAGAGGTCGAGCAGCGCCCAGTGGAGCACGAGGCGGGGCAGGGCGAGGAGGGGCAGGGGGACAGGGGATGGAGGAGTTGCGGGGCCAGGGGAGGGGGAGAGGGCGAGGAGGAGGGGGGCGAGGGGGGAGGAGGGGGAGGAGGGCGCGGGGAGGAAGAGGTGGCGGTGGGTGAGGAAGATGTTCGTGGCGGCCGCAGCGGCCTCCCAGGAGAAGGCCAGGAACGCCACGCCGTGCAGGCGAGCCAGCAGAGAGAGCAGCAGTGCGCGGATGGAGAGAGGCGGGGCGGCGAGGAAGGTGAGCGGGATGCCGGTGGCGGTGGTGGTGGCGGTGGCGAGGAGCGGCAGCAGGAGCGGGCGGAGCAGGAGGGAGTAGAGGAGCGCGGTGATGCACCCGAATGTGGCTGCTGACGTGGCGCAGCGCGGGAGGGTCGTCTTGAATCGGTAGAACGGGGCGCGCTGTAAGGGGTATGGGGGATGGCATAGAGAGGGCGGCAATAGGGTTGTGGGTTTAGACAGGCATAGAGAGGTGAGTCATGGAGTGCAGCACTGCCGCGCCAACTCCCAACTCTCAGCTGCCCTCGCCTTGTAGCCGTGCACCACGGCAGCTGCGGCAAGTGAATGAAGGCGCATTTGTGGAAGGGACCTACACGTGGGCGGGGTGGAGCGCAGCTGCGCGGCGCACCTGCAGCACGGGGAACGCGAGGAGGTAGTCGCGCCGCACCACGTGGTACGCCGCGAACAGCACCCCCACCGCGCCGCCGAATCCCGCCTCGCCCGCCACGGCCCAACCGTCTGGCGGCCACTCGTCGTTGGATTCGGTCTCCGCCGTGCTGCGCAGAAGCTGCGCGCGGAAGAGCGAGAGCGCGATCGCACCTGCGGCGCCCGCCGCGGCGCAAAGAGAAGCGAACTTGGCGCGGCCAGCTAGCGTCGCCCGAGCCGCTTCCGCCTCCCATTGGCTGGCGGGCCCGCGAAACCCGTCGTGCGATGCGCGAATCTGTTGGTCTTGGTGCACGAACGGGCGTGGATCTGATATGCCGGCAAATCCGGCGAGATTCGCGGCGGAAGAGAGGAGGGAGGCAGTGGAGGGGAGGGGAGGGGCGTCTGCGACGACGATGGCGTGGTGAGCTAGAACGAAAAGAAGTTGCGAAAGATCAAAAATCGCGAAAGCGAGGTAAAGGCGCAGCGAGAAGAAGGAGAGGAGCGATGGGAGGAGGCCCGCGCGGACGACGAGCGGCGCGGCCCAGAGGAAGAGGAAGGGGCCGATGGAGAGCAGGTGGAAGAGAAAGGCGCGTGCCCAGCGGCGATGCACGACATCGCGATACATCGCCTCGGCGGACGTGCTGGCGACGGCGGGAATCTGCTCCATGACGAGATGCGATGCGACGGATTACGCTGGACTATTTTTGAGGGAGGAGGAAAGCCATAGGTGAATTCGGGAATGGCTGGCAGTCAGCCATGAATGCTGCTCTGGATTGGTCGGGGTAGGAAAAAGGAATGGGTGGCTCATACGCAATAAGGAATCTCGGTTGAAGAAGAATGGTCAGTTTAGTACCAGTAGTACTGCTAAAGAAATCCGAAGAGGTTGTATGGAGCATAAAATATTCATGAAACCTATCTGGTAGTTGTTACGAGTTGTAAAAGGGAGAGCGCAGGATAACGAATAATGAAGATGTGACTTGATGAACTGACAATAAATTGAAGGCATGCAATTATATAGTGACTACCCTAGCTAGGAGGGAACCTCGGGAAATGAGGTTCGGTTCAGGTTTGGCAATCGGAAAGTCGAAGGCGATACGAGGAGCCTCATCCCAGAATCCCAGCCACTAACCACTGGGATAAAATGACTTGTTTGTATAGCGGGTAAGTGCGCACATAACCCTCTAGGCCAACGTGTCTGTAACCCTTTCCTAGCATCAATCGATGGATCACAAGTGGACCTCTGACAACCCGCCGCACTTCGATACCCGAAGTGCACACACTGGGATTCGAACCTGAGACCTTAGCTCTGATACCATGTCAGAATCTCAGCCACTAACCACTAAGATAAAATGGTTTGTTTGTGTAGCGGATGAGTGCATCTATAACCCCCCAGGCCAACATGCATGTAACCCTTCCCTATAATCAATCAGGGATCACCAGTTGACCTCTGACACCTCAGCATCGTCGATGTCGGCCGAACGTGCAAGTCAGAAAATTGAGGCTGTATGTACCGTGCCGTATTCCCCCGGATATAAGACCTTCGGGTCTTATGCTAAATCCCTAGAAAAAATGGGAGGGTGGGGGGGAGGGGGTCTTAACAAAGGAAAAAAAATCATAACACCAAGGTCTTTGTCAGATTTCTATGACATAGCTGTTGTAGGCTATAGTGGGGTAGCACATATGGGGTACAGCTTTCTGGGGTTGTATTTGTACCCAACTTTCACTTAGTCATTTCATTCTCGTTCTAACTTTCTCATGGTATCAGAGCAGGTTCCCTAGTGGGAACTGTGTCTAGGGCCCACCACATCGAATTTTTTTTTCCTGCCCGGAGCGCGCTCCGCCCGAGTCGCGCTCCTCTCTTTCACCTCGTCGATCCGCCCTAGCGGCCCCGTCGCCCTAGCGGCCCCGTCGCCCTAGCGGCCCCATCGCCCTAGCGGCCCCCGTCGCCTAGCCCTAGGGCCACGTCGCCTAGCCCTACGGCCCCGGCGCCGCCCTGTCCCGGCCCCGCCGCCCTTCGCTGCGGCCCCGCCGCCCTTCACTGCGGCCTTGCCGCCTACCATGCGGCCCCGCCGCCCTTCGCTGCGGCCCCGCCGCCCCCTCTCGCTGGGCCCCGCCGCCTACCGTGCGGCCCCGCCGCCCTTCGCTGCGGCCCCCCCGCCCCCTCTCGCTGCGGCCCCGCCGTCTACCTTGCGGCCCCGCCGCCCTTCACTGCGGCCCTGCCGCCCCTCTTGCTGCGGCCCCGCCGCCTACCTTGCGGCCCCGCCGCCCTTCGCTGCGGCCCCGCCGCCCCTCTCCCTACGGTCCCGCCACCTACCTTGCGGCCCCGCCGCCCTACCAGCGGCCCTGCCGCCCTACGCGACCGAGCCGCCCGCACCGCGAAGCAGCCCGAGCCGCCCGCACCTCTAAGCAGCCCGAGCCGCCCGAGCCGCCCGAGCCACCCGAGCCGCCCGAACCGCCCGAGCCGCCCGAGCCGCCCGAGCCGCCCGAGCCGCCTGAGCCGCTGAGGAGCCGAACCGTTGGTGCCACAGAGCCGCAGTTGCTGCTGAGCAGTCCGAGTCACCCGAGCCGCCGTGTTGCCGAGCTGCTGTGTTGCCGAGCTGCTGTACTTCCGAGCTGCCCGACCCGCCCTGTCTAGTGAGAGCAGCGCTTCGGTCACTGCACTGCCCCTGTCCTACAGTTAGTGCTGCTAGTCTACTGCTGTCATGGCTACCCCCAGTGTTCTCGCTTTTGACGCTGAGGGTCGGGCCATTGACTTTGAAGTCTGGGTAGATGACCTGCAGCTTTTCCTACAGTGCGATAGGGCAGACGGTCTCTCTCTCTCTTTGACCTCACCTCTGGTGCCTCTCCTGCCCCTGCTGCTGATGCTGATGCCACTGTTCGCTCCCAGTGGGCCACGCACGATGCTGCTGCACGTCTTGCTGTGCGTCGCCACCTGCCTACCACTGAGCGCGCGCACTTTAGTCAGTACAAGAGTGCTCAGACCTTGTAAGACGCTCTAGTTGCGCGCTACTCTTCCCCTGCCACTACTGCACTAAGCCGCCTCATGCTACCGTACCTTTTCCCTGACCTTGCTGCCTTTCCCACAGTCGCTGACCTCATTACGTACCTCCGCACTAGTGACACTCGCTACCGCGCTGCGCTTCCTGCTGAGTTCTGTGCCAAGAACCCCCCCCCCCATGTACATCACTCTCTATTACATAGTCGCCCGCCTCCCTGACTCCCTTCGTGTAGTCAGGGACCACTTCCTCTTAGTCTGTCCCACCACTCTCACTGTTGACCTCCTTGAGAAGGCCCTCCTAGCAGCAGAGAAGAGCATAGTCGGTGTAGGGGCCTCTCGTGGTGACCCTCGCACCCCCATCTTTGAGGGGTGTTCCCCTTCCCCCCTTTTGCCCTCTGTCGCCTCTGCTGCTGCGGCCGACCTCGTTGGTCTTGAGTCGGTCGGTGCGGCGTCTGCCCCTAGCAGGAGACGCCGCTCTGGCAAGGGCAAGGGGGGCAAGGGCGCGGGTGGAGCTAGCAGGGGTGGTAGAGGAGGCGGTGGAGGCGGCGGAGGGAGTGGGGGTGGCGGTGGGAGTGGTGGCGGGGGTGGAGGTGTCGGTGGCAGCAGTGGAGGTGGAGGCGGCGGAGGCGGTGGCGGTGGGAGCGGAGGCGGCGGTGGTGGCGGAGGTGGAGGAGGCGGTGCTGGAGGAGGTGGAGCTGGTCGGGGTGGCGCTTGGCAGCGGAGCGGCTCCGGTGGTGGTCAGGGCCAGCAGCAGCAGTAGCAGCAACGTTCTCGGGACATCCCCCCCCCTCAGCAACTCCGTGAGTGGTACGCGCAGCGTCAGCGTGGTGGGGGTTTTGGTCCGTGCACTTACGTCCTTCGCACCGGCGACCGCGCGGGTGAGCAGTGTGGGGGTGCCCACCCCACCCAGCGCTGCTTTGGCCGCCTGACGGACGCTTGGCGTCAGCAGTTCCCGGAGGCTAATGAGATCCCCCGCTGGGGAGAGCTGTCTAGGGCAGGTGTAGCTATCTATGATCTTGACTTTGATGCTATCCTTGCTGCCATGTATGCTGTGACTATTAGTGATGAGGGTGACTGTTACCGGTGTTTCCCGCCCGACCTGGGCATTGCGACTGCTGCTCTAGGTGCTGGTGAGGCTGCTGCTCTAGGTGCAAGTGCGTCTGCGTCCTCAGGTGCTGGTGAGTCTGCGCTCTCAGGTACCGCGTCGGCTTCGGCCTCCCTCACCTTCACACTTGACTCAGGGGCGTCTCGCTCCTTCTTTCGAGACAGCACCACACTCACGCCGCTTGGTCGGCCGGTTGCAGTCTCCCTGGCAGACCCCTCGAGGGGCCCTGTCCTCTCTCACTTCTCTACTGTCCTCCCGTGTCCGGCTGCCCCCTCTGGCACCTTGTCTGGTCTTTACCTCCCCTCATTCTCTACGAACTTGGTGAGTGGTGCTGACCTACAGGATGCGGGGGTTCACCCGTTTACTCCTACGAGTCAGCGGATGACCCACTGCTCGGACGCTCGCACAGGCCGACACCTGGCCACATTTACGCGTCGGCCAGGGTCGAGCCTCTTCACCCTGACCACTGAGTCTCCTCCTGTCCCTGCGTCTGGCCAGGTAGCTGCGTCGGGTCAGGTGTTTGCTGCAGCGTCCAGGTCTGGTCCTAAGTCTGCCCCCTGCTCGTGTCGCCTCCTGTCTCACGAGACTCTCCTGTGGCACCACCGTCTTGGTCACCCCTCCCTGCCTTGTCTCCAAGGCATGGCTTCCCGTGTCCTTGTCTCTGGTCTTCCCCGGTCCCTCCCTCCCCTCCCTCAGGGGCCTGGTCCTTCCTGCGTCCCCTATGTCGAGGGGCGGCTCGGGCTGCCCCTCACTCCTCTCAGTTTCCCCCGACAGAGGCCCCGCTGCAGACGCTTCACATGGACGTGTGGGGCCCGACCCGCGTCCGTGGACAGGGTCACGAGCGCTACTTCCTGCTGGTGGTTGACGACTACTCGCGTTACACCACAGTCTTCCCCTTGCGCAGCAAGGGCGATATCACTGAGGTGTTGATCGACTGGATCCGCGCAGCTCGTCTCCAGCTCAGGAGGAGCTTCGGCTCGGACTTTCCTGTTCTGCGTCTGCACTCTGACCGAGGCGGTGAGTTCTCCTCTGGCCTTCTGCGAGCCTTCTGCCGTGCGCGAGGCATCCGCCAGACCTTTATGCTTCCGGACTCTCCAAAGCAAAATGGGATTGCTGAAGGCCGCATTGGCATGGTCATGGACGACGCTCGTACGTCCATGATGCATGCGGCTGCCCCCCATTTTCTGTGGCCGTTTGCGGTTCGGTATGCGGCGCATTAGATCAACCTTCACCCCAGGGTCTCCATGACGGAGACCTCCCCAGCTTTGCTGTGGACGGGGCAGGTAGGCGATGCGTCTGCATTCCGTGTCTAGGGATCTCGGGCGTTTGTCCGCGACTTGTCTGCTGTCCCCTCGTGCTGCTCCTTGTGTCTTCCTCGGCTTCCCCCCTGACGCGCCAGCGTGGCAGTTCTACCACCCCTCCTCTCATTGTGTTCTATCCTCCTAGGACGTCACGTTTGACGAGTCGGTCCCCTACTACCGTCTCTTCCCCTACCGCACTCCTTCCCTCCCCCCGCCTCCGCTCTTCCTAGTGCCAGGTCCCCCCCCGGTAGACCCCCTCCCCC